CAAACAATTTCCTGCAGGCTTAAGTGTTGTGACAGTAATGACCTCAAAAAGGCCTGGACAGGGAGGGTAGAAGATATGAATGCTCGAATGGAGGACTGAGTCTACGGAGATAGTAGCTCTTGTGTACTTTTATGCTGCCGATCCTGGCAGTATTTCCAGGCGTACACTCGAGTCCCTCTACGTGCGGATAAAAGTCAAATAGGTTGGAAAGGACACAGAGCGGATATCGAATCTCGGGCCAATGGAAGGCAAATAAACATAGCCAGCTTAGGCTGTCGCAGGAGATGCTTAACTCGATTAAGTCTGTATGACTAAACCTACTCTTATACAATGGGGATAGATGTCAGCATGCCCACCGTACTTTGCTACTCTGTTCATTAGTATTCATACATTTCCTAGCCATTTTGACCAATAGGGAGCTCAAAGGCATTTGCCTATCTTTCTTTTAATAAAAATGAACTGAAATGAAGAATTTTCTCTACACCACTATACTGAAAAAACGCCAAGGCAAAAGTTGCTTATGCAGGCTCACTCATATACACCTAGTCCCAGCATTTTGTCCTGCAAAACGGTTGTTATAGAGTTTTTGGGAGTGGGGAAATAGGATAGGCAGAGAAACAAATTATTAGGAGTAAGTGTCAAGTGAAAAAAATGTGTTTTACTTTTAAGTAAAATAAAAATGCATTTAGCATTTATTAAAGTATATTCCACTGCGTGTCCTATTTCCCCACACATAAAACCCGATAGTCACCGCTTCATAGGAAAACATGCACGGAGTAGGGATTAATGTGTGGGCCTACGCAAGCTACTGTTACCAACGCCAATTCTCTGAGTTTGTTTCTATTTCTTACAATGACCGGTCAAAAGAGTGAGGCATTGAAAACCCAAGCAACATGACAGTGAAGTTTTCCATTTCTATGGGAATAAAAAATCTTATCTATAATGTAGTTGTATGTTTTATAGGATGGGTATTGTCTAAGGCCGCAGTGCTTTCTCTCTGTTAGGTAAAATTACATTAAAACTCCCGAGAACACGTTTCACAGCAAACTTATGTTTTAAGCAAACTAAAAACAAATTTCCATAGAGTTTTAAAACTGCTCGAATTCTTCCTACTAACTTTTGCCCGATTGTTCGGGCAGTTCTCAAAAACTGGACACACCTTATCAACCGCCACTTACTTGTATTTAGGTGCATCGGTTTAGCCATGGGTATTATCATCATGTCCGAGCACTCGAGGAAATCACTCTCCAAGAAACCCTGGTCGCTGTAGATGAAGCGTCTAGCGTCGGCCTCATTTGTGAAGTAGAAGAGGCCCATGCCAAAGTTGAGCAAGGGTTGGCTTTCACAGGGCGGCACTCTTTCAGCATCGTTGGAAATGCCCACGTAAGTTCCATTGTAGCCCTTCTCAAGAACGCTGAGGGACTTGTAAATGGCGTTTCGCAGGGTATAAAGGTCCTGAATGCGCACACGAATGAGGACCAACGCAGGCATGACGTGATGAGGGCTCCCTGCGATCCTCCTGGGCGCTAGACAGTTCAAAAATGAGCCAATCGACGAAAATCGATTGAAAGGCGTGACCAGTCTGCAAATGCTGGCCGCTGGTCATAGCAGAGGTTAAAATAGGAATCCACTCGTTTCACCGTTGAGTGTTCAGTGGGAAGTCCGATGTTAAAGCTGTGACGAACAGAATAAAAGATTGAATAGCGGCTTGTCTGCTATGGTTTCTATCTCGAGCATAACTTCGAGTGGTATTTTCTTTATCCAACAGTAGCTTATGTAGTTCCCCTCATTAGTCCCTACTCTCAGCAAGTTGTCCTACGAAAACGGTGATTGTAGGGGTTTTATGGGTGGGGAATTAGGACACACAGTGGAATATGAATAAACCTACTGCTATATGCATTTTAATTTTATTGCATTTGGAAGAGTTGTATATTTGTCTGTAGATTTTCCTAACCTGTATTATCGTTTAACGTATTGCGGAAAAATCCGATTATCAAATTGCAGGTTTC